GTAGTTGATACCACAGTTCAAAAAGTGTTATCTAAATCATGAATTGCACATTAATTTGACCTGCATGATATTGGAAAAGTTGAGATTGCGATAATTTGTTTTGCTGCAGTTTTATTGCGATATGAATACAATTTCACCAGATTGAATAGCTTTTTTTTTTGTTTAAGAATTCTTTAATTTAAACCAGTGGTTTCCAAAGTGGGGGTCGCGGGACATTGAAGGGCTGGGGTCGCTTGAATTCCAAAATTCAAATTCATTTTATATAGCTTTTACACAGGGTTACCGTGGGGTCCTAAAAATGCTAAAATCTCTTAAGTCTTAAATCTACTGAAATATTGTGTTTTAGGTCTTAAATCTTTTTTTTGCAGATCTTAATTTTCCCTTGTTCATGTATAGCTTCCCAATCTGGCCAATAACACCCATATAATCACTAACGATTCCAATCTCAGTAAAATATTTAACTTTCTATTTAAAAACAAAACATTGAATTACTTTCCTTACAGTAACATTTGTTTGCATTTTCTCAACTTCAGTTACTGACCAGGCCTAGCTTTTTTTTAAATAATTTTTTTTATTATTACACATAATGGTCTTAAAAAGATTTAAATTTAACTTGGTAAAACCTGCAGAAACTATGACTAGAATTATCATTTTATCCGTAACTCACTGAAGAACAATATAGTACTTAATAGTAACAGTTAACATGTTAATAATAAACATTAAAAGCCACATGCCAATAAAAATCCATCAGTCTTTCGATATATATATATATATATATAATTTTATTTATTTATTTTTTTTGCAAGCCCTGGGATTATTATAATAAAGACAAAGCAAAAGCGTCAGATGCAGCATGTTGATTAAACTTTACATTTGGTTAAACTTTCTGACCTCTTTACGGCACTCACATACATTAAAAATAAATGCAGGCTACAACTGAGCATGGAGGAAGGTCTCCATGTGGCGTTCTTCGAAATTAAATGATGAATAGATTTGGGCCAATTGGTATGTGTGTGCCGTTGTGTGCAAGATTTATGTATTGATAACCACCTCAGAGAATATTGTGGGTCCCATGTTGCTGGCATTGTTATTTTGGGGTCACAGGCCGAAGAGTTAGGGAACCCCTGATTTAAACTTGGGATTATTCTGTAAATCCTGCATAAAATATAATAAACCAATACTCTAAAGCATAAATAGATGCAATAAAACAAAGATAGAAGTGAAATATTTTACATTCACAGTATTCAGCTACAGAAATTTAATAATACAATGTAAAGGAACACTGTATGGTGTTCATTGTATACATAATTCTAAAAAATGCATCTTTTATTAAGAGTTAAACAGAGTACAGGGGTGTGTGCCTGAATGCTTACACAGCCACTGGCTTTAAAAACACATGCAGATGATAAACCTTTTACACTATTATGTTTAAACTCTTCAGTAACTCCAAAATCTGTGTTTTGAAATGTGGCTCTTGGTAAATTTATAATCCCAACATATAAACTCAATATTGCACTTCCTGAGGTGACACGCAGATGTGCACATTGAGATATTGATGCTGAAGCGTTATTTTGTGCAGCCCTAATGTAATTTATACATCAGATTATTTTCCTTCATTCATTTTAAGCAAATTGTGTTCGTAATATAATACTTTGTTTCGTCATTTTAGTAAATCATAGCCAAAGTGTAACAAATTGTCCCCCTGTTATCATTTAAGAATAACGAGGGACCAAAGTAAAGACGGAACAAACCGATCAGCTGTGCTGGGAGATTCTCCATTTGTGGCTACAGTTTATCTAAACCCAGTGAACAAATGAGTAAATCATTTCAAGATGAATTTTCAACTAGTGCTCACTGTATTTGTAATTTTTCCTGTCATGGGCACAGATTTTTTTTATTTAGATTTAAATTTCATTGGATTATTTTATGTAAAGCTATAGAATAATTCAGACAAGTTGTTACACGGTCAAACAAAAAGGAAATCGTAATAATCAACTGTGTTTAAAATATTTTGTTTTGTTGATGTTGACAATCCCCACCAAAAATAACAAAAAAGCTTTATTAACTAATGCTTTTATAAATTTTATAAAGGACAAAATGTTCAGAAAGCAGCTTTGCCTGTACAGTTTCATAGCTTAACATCATGAATGATTACATTTCTGTTCTTCTCAGGTGATCAAAGGTGCCGAGATCTTGGAGGTGTTGCACAGTTTACCTGCGGTGCGTCAGTATCTCTTCTCCCTCTACGAGTGCCGTTATTCAGTATTCTTCCAGTCACTGGGTAAGTAAACTATTGGCAGAACAGTGAAATACCTCGCGTCCAAAAACATTTGAGGACAACGCTGGTGCTCAACTGCCCACATTGTTATTTATTTACAGTGTTTAAAAGCTCTTCTGTCACAAAAATGGTGTTGCGTCTGTGTGTCTTCTGCAGCTCGAGTGGAGCAGGAGATGAAGCAAGACTGGTTGTTTGCTCCTCATTATCGTTACTATGTTCGTGAGATGCGGATCCTGGCCTACAGTCAGCTGCTGGAGTCCTACCGCTCACTCACGCTGGGATACATGGCCGAGGCTTTTGGAGTCAGCACAGAGTTCATTGATCAGTACGCTACGCTTTCATAAAAATAAAAAATAAAAAATTATTGACAGGCACCAGATATCACTTACATATATATTGGAGGGCTGTAAAACAGCAAAGACTATAGGCTTTAATTGAGGCTCATGGTGACCATCAAATTATTGATAGTTGTGTGAATATTGTCAGTTGTGTGAATTATTTTTGGTTGATTGTAACTCATTACATGCTGTTCTGTTCTATCAACTTCATTATATTTTATTACCTTTTTCTAAACTATGTTGAGAAAATCTAGATTATGTGAGAAACGTCGAAGTAGTCTGAATAAATACTGAACTTTAACATGCTATTTTCTACACTCACTTGGCTTGTTTTCCTTCCCCAAGGGAGCTGTCTCGATTTATCGCAGCAGGACGGTTACATTGCAAGATTGACAAAGTCAATGAGATCGTGGAAACTAACAGGTCAGAATACTTGTTTGTCATTTAAAGTCGTCCATTTATATATACCGTTCATGTAGTGTTTGAGATTAAAAAAACAAGGTTTCTGCAGGTTTCAAGTCAAATTTAAGATTTTTATGACCTTTTTTAGACTATTATGAATGAAAATTCAGATTTGCATAAGGCTAAATAAGGCTAAAGGTTTTTTTTAATGGCTAAGTTAAAACCTTAAAAAAACCTTAAAAACCAAGGTTATTGTAAGGAGGAAAACTAAACCATGTTTATAAGTAAATAGAGTTAAGGAATAAAGGTTTCTTAACCTTATTCAAATGAATTGTTAGTGATTGTTATGAGCGTTGGCCCGATTGGGGATAGCTTTACATAGACAATTGGAAAAATAAGATCAGAATAAGAACATGGAAAATTAAGACCAGTTTAAAATTATTTAGGACCCACAGCGCAATATTTTAGTGGATTTTAAGGCCTAAAACTTGTTTTTTGAAATTCAAGACTTTCAAGACCTGAGATACCCTGAAAAAGTCAGCAAATATCAATGTGTTTGGTTGTTGTTAACGTGTAAGATGACATTGTGCTGTAAAAACAGATCCACGGGATGAGGGCTTGCACTTAAACTGATACCTTGTGTTTTTTGTAGTGAACATGATGAAATGCTGCACACTGTCTGGAGACAGACGCGTGAAAGCTTGACTAGACCAACAGAATAGGCTATCTGACCCAATCAGTGCATGCAATACACTCGGAAAGATGCAGTTCACAGTAGTAGATGTGTTTTTGCAGGTTTCACCTAGTTACATTTAAGTTAAATTTTAATTAAAATTTTTTAATATCCCAGTTAGGAAAGATTTTCACTTACCCTATCAAAATGATCAAAATTTTATACATTTATTAATAATAATTTAGTTTGAATATTTTTTTATGAACTTTTAAATATATCCATTCACAAACCCTTACCAAGAATAGAACTATGCATAGCTGCCAATTACTTCAGTCTACAATAATAATAATAATAATAATAATAAATAAGTCAGGTCAGTATCCTCAGCAGTAATCAAATGCTGTTTTTAAATAAAACGTTTCATTGAGGTAGATTATTGGTGATTGTATGGGTGTTAATGGCCATATTGGGTAGCTATACATGAACAAAGGAAAATTAAGACCTGTAAAGTTTTAAATCTACTGACAAATTGTGTTGTTTGGCCTTTTGCCTGTAAATGAATGAAATCTGTCCAAATATATTCATATGAAAATTAGCTTTTGAGATTTTAGCCATTTTAAGACCCCACAGATACCTATGCATTAATATAGGCACATGATGTTGGAAAACTGACATTATGATATATATGCTGCATTATGATTATCATTTCATCAGATTAATTGATCAGCTGATTTAGACAGACTTGATCATCCCAATTAGAACAAATAAGCATATTTAAATACAATAGAGCAGAGAAAACAGTTGAATAGGTGCGTTTTGGTTCGCGGTAGACTAACAGTATTCGGGTATGGAAATTGAACAATTAAACAAAATGGTCATCATTGTATAAATTTAATAATATCCTAATCTTGAAAGTAATCATGTTATCGACGCTCAAACAATATATTGTGCAGCCTTAAGGTTCATTATAATCCTTAGCTGAATTCATCATGAACTGTATTAATTTATTTATTTTTCTCCAGACCTGACAGTAAGAACTGGCAGTACCAGGAAACCATAAAGAAGGGCGATCTCCTGCTGAACAGAGTGCAGAAGCTCTCCAGAGTGATCAACATGTAGTCCAGCACCAGGCGTTTGACCAACATCCACGTCTTTTCTTGTGAGCAACTTGACTTTTGTTTATGTACAGTATATAATAAAACTGAATTGGAGGAAACTCTTTGTCAATGGTGTGTGTGTGTGTGTGTGTGTGTGTGTGTGTGTGTGTGTGTGTGTGTGTGGTGGGGGGAAAAAAAGAGTCAGACACAAATTTCTTATAAATAACTGTATAAATTATTTTTTTTATATATTTACAGAAACTTGTTACAAAACAAATATACTATACAATCTTTTCTTTAAATATTAAGTAAATCTACCCTACTGTGTTTGTTCATGAATTACATAGCAGCCAACACACAAAAGTCCAGCTGATCAAATGATTTTTGAATATGTATACAAAAAAAAGACAAAAAAAAAAAGAAATCAAAATATACACACTTGTACATGTTTATATGTAGAGGCTTCTTCCCCAAAAAGCAAACTGTTTAGTTTTTTCATCTTCGATTCACATTCCAAATCTGTGGTGTTTAATCAAACATCTTCACAAAGCTTTCAGCGTCTGAAAACAGTGGAGTTACAATTTCAAGGTAAACAGTACATTAATCTGGTTGAAATCATCGACTTAGCCACACACACAAAAAAAGAAGTCTATCCCTCTCTCGCTATAAAAAGTAGTCATAAAAAATTACAAGGGACAGACAGGAAGCTTTTCTCACGCCATCAAGTAAGTGTTACTCCATGCATCTCATCCAAGAGTTACCACTCTACTTGAAGGGGAAAAGGGCGACGTATGAGATTCCTAGGCAGGTTTCTAAACCCCTATAGAACATTCAAGTACTGTGAAAAAAGAAACATCAAATAATACAAAGCTCTGCCTTAACAACAGTCGATGAGAAACTAATTCAGGCACTTTCTCTTTTTTTTGTTTTGTTGTCAGCGTTAGATATAAGCTAATGGATTAAAACGCAGTGAATTCAATTACAACATTTGGCAACATTGGTGCACGATCTGCGCTGTACAACTGTTTTTGTTCCCTCTCGGCCCATGTATCTTTTGATCATTGGATTTTGATTTTAGAAACAGATTTTGAAAAATGAGCCGTTTGAGTTTAGTTTTAAATACAAAAACGAATTTTAAAATGAGCCGTTTTTCTTTTTGATGGTGAAAAAAAATTTATTTAAACTGATTTGATTTTCATTTTATATTTTGAGTAACAAAAAAATAAAATCACCAGAAAACAAATATGAAAAAAGGCTTGTTTGTTTATTCTGAAACGAGACAGGCCGACTCATTTACGGTGACGAAATGCTGCCACGCACAGGCTAGCCTGGCTATTCATTTTTTTTCCCCACCTATTAATGTTATTAAAGGCATTTTCTTGTGATAACAAGATTATTAGACATATTTTTCTCATTAAGACATTTCTCGTATAAGGGCCAGTTACAGACTTTCTTAGTTTTTTTTGTTAGCATGTTTTAAATGGAACAACCTTTTATTTTGACATTACATGAAAGCATGACGATGCTTTACTGAACACTTCTGAAAAGAAGGTTTTAATATTGTTAAAACCATAATACTTCCACTTCTCGGAGTTTGACCACAAATCATTTCAAGTGAGGGAGGCAATACAGTTCGTTACGCACATTTCACAAGTACGCACAAGTCATAGTATTTTGAAATAGAAATTAACAATTCATTTTATCCAAAAACAAGCATACAAACACCCTGATAAGCATCCCATGTCCTATCATTATAGCTTGCGTATGAGTTGTGTGTGTGTGTGTGTTATCACCCAGGTACAGTGGGTATATCTATAATTCCATATGCAAATATAGCAGCAGCCTAAACAATGGGCCATCATCCAGAGAGTTAAAACATTAAAAACTATACAATAATTCATAAAATAAACACAATTTATGAACAGGCTTTGTTTATTCATGAATAAAAGCTATTCTAAGCCAGCTGTTCTAACAGTCTATTTTGTTCTTTCAGTCTATTTATATTTATATACCTTATTTAGTAGGCTACTTTTAAATTATTTCATTTCCAATTCATGTTGTATATTAGTGTAAAAATAGGCCTATAAAGATTACTTTATAGATTATATTAGGCAATAGTATAGGCTGTACTTTGTGTAAAGATGCACACAACGGCGGTCTTAAAGCTCATTATCAACTGTAGCAAAGTTTTTGTATTGTTGTCATGCATTGGGACTCTTATAATGGTGTTTTTGAAACATGCTGAACGCCTTTCAGATTAAATGAATTATGTTTACTTTGATTTCGAACTATAACGCCGAAAGATGACTTGTCGAAATGTGTCCAATGATTCCATACGAATGTCCAATGTTACTCTCACTTCTGTAGCGGAAGTGATTTTAACTTTATTTTATACAATAATATATATATAATCAGCTTTAATGAGGAAAATATCTCTTAAAATCCTGTTATCACAACAAAATACCTTTTATAACATTAATAGGTGGAAAAAAATAATAGCCTATAGTAGGCTAGCCTGTGTGTGGCAGCATTGCATCACCGTTAATGAGTCGGCTGGTTTTAGAATATTAAAAACAAGCCTTTATTCGATTATGTTTACTGGGGATTTTTTTTTTTTTCGAAAAAAAAAGAAAAACAAATCATTTTTGAATTTTGCTTTAGTTTTCATCACAATGAAATGAAAAACGGCTCATATTTCAATATTTGCTTTTGAATTTAAAACACAACTCAAAGAACGATTCGTTTTTCAATATCTGTTTCTAAAATGAAAATCCAATGACCATAAAATACACAGACCCCTCTCCCACTTTAAAAAAAAGTCTGGCAAGGTACATCATCCAGCCAGAAATCTTTTGCACAGTTGAACGGGCCATTTTGATCACATTCTCTGACCTCTTGATTTGACATGGAGGGACAAATAAAATATATGTTAACATTTAAAAAATATGATTTCCCACTACTGTGGCTACAATCTTTTCAGGGGAAACTCAGCATGTGACTTAACAAGAAGCTGTGTTTGGATAAGAGTGGCGTATTGCATTATCGGCTTGGCAGTGAACCACTTCTAATAGTCTTAGAATGTTTTCAATTTACTAAATAAATAATAATGATCTCAATTGTACCAAAAATCCTTTACGAAAATGCCTGTGCAAAAATACATCTCCATATGTACAATTCTTTAACAAAATATGTATTCTGAAATAGGGATACTTCAATATTAGTATTCGGTTTCGTGTACGAAAAAAGCCAAAGGAAGAAAAACAATACACAATTGGAGAACCTAAAGAAAAACTCATGCTCTACTCAGCTCGATTGCTGACTGACATCAGTGGAGTTCAGGAATTTACAGGAGTTTGAAAGAGAACTTACTGTCTCCAAAAAGAAAAAGGATCTATTGCCTTTTGAAATCGACAGAAAGACCCACAATGAAAATGAGATTTAAATCCAGCTACTAACCTCTTCCGGGTCGTAAATCAATGCAGGAAGGTTGGGTCGCAGTGTAAAGGTAGTGGTCATTACATGAGATGCTGATGGCCAGACTACTGTCTCACAGTATTAAGAGTCATGACGTCTACTCCGTTGCTGAGATGATAGTGTGTCTGTAATGCTGCTCTATGGCTCAACGTCAACCAGCCACAAGCCCCTTTCTGAGTCTGAAACGGCACAAAGGTCACCAGGAAACTCGCCTACAATCATTTTTCCAGCAACAACTTCAGTTTCTAGTATCTTTAGATTTCAGCACATGCTTATCTTTAGTGCTAAGATGGGTTGCGTCACGTTCTCCATTTATCCAGCAGGAGTTAGGTTTGCACGTGCTGAAAACGTTACTGAATCAAGCCCTTACTGTACTCAGAGTTAAAGATACACTAAGCCAAGTTTGATTTGAAAGCACCAATAAGAACGTGCCTATAACTCAACAGCGCCATCTCTGCTATCATAAGACACACCCCCTTACTGCAGATTGGCTGCATGTTAATGAGCTTGGTCTGACACTGGTCAAAAGTGTTTCACAAATATTCCTTAGTGCACCTTTAGGGGTGTTCACACTTGGGAGGTTTGGTTCAGGTGTGGTTCAGGTTAAAGCGGTTTGTGTATTCGAATGAAGTGTAAATGCTGCCTTCCAAACTTTGGTGCGCACTTAAAAAAAGAAGACTGATAAGAGGTCTCTGTCCACTTCCAAAAAACTCTGATGCGCTTTGAGTGAAATATTTACATAAAATAGACCATAGACTTCTAAACAAACCAAAAAACATCACTTTATGTCACAAAATGTGATGTTTTTCCTGTTTTTCCTGTTTTTTTTTAATTGACAATCACAATGTTGCCAATTATAATTCAATACAGACGTGGTTAAGTAATTCCTGGCTCACCATTACAGATATTATAAACTCTTAACTGATTAAAACCACAATTAATAAACAGAAATGTATGTGTAGGCCAGAACACAGCACTGTTTGCTACGAGTTTTGGTTTTGCATCTTTAGTTTCGGTTGTGTATATAGAGAGTAAAACAAAACTAAATGCATCGGTTTCTTTCTTTTTTTTTTTTTTTTTTGGTAAATAAATCTAGAGAACCAAACTTATAAGTGTGAACACACCTTAAGAAAATGACAGTGTTTTCTAGAGTGTGTTTTAAGAGCTTAGAGATGACTGTTGCTTAGATATTCAGTAAAGACATGCTAGGCTACTGACATCGATGAAATAATTCCAAATGAACGTCATGAAAATAAATAAAAAGCAAGTGCTTTAGCTAATGCAGGACGTTGGAGTTCAATTACAATTGGATTTCTATGTAAAAACTGCAATAAAAATCAAACTCTCTCCGTTAGCATCTCTGAAGTAGCCTGAAATCCTTAAAAATTCCCTTGCAATAAACCCAGAATCTAATCTAAAGTTAGACGTATACTTTCCAAAAGTAATGAAAAACAAAAGTTGTACGATTAATGGTATTTTGATCTGTTTGCTATACATTTCCTAGCCTGTAAACAAACAAAGAAAATCAAGGTTTGCATAATCGTAGGTTTGCTCGTGTTGAAACTCCACTCCAGTCACGTGTATCTGCTCAATGGATTGAACGGAGCCTTCCAGCGAGGGCTCGTGTGTCATGATTTTAGTTGATTGTGTGTCTACTGTAGGGATGTTCCTCTCCTGTACACTTCCTCCAAGGCTGTGTAGGATTTCAGTTTCCAGTATTCTTGTTTGTCCAAGCTTCCCAAAGAAGCTCATCGCACCATCCGTCCTATGCATGGTAGTGTTGGTGAGGCTACGTACCAGCCCAAATCTGTACCTTCAGAGCCCAGCCATCACGAGTGCTCGGGCAGCTCATGCTCGGCGCAGCAGGCGTTGTACCCAGTGGTGCATTGTATAGATTCATTTTGACCTCCGACAGGAGAACTGTGTCGCTCTGGCTTATTATCCCCTGCATGGCTTTGGGAGGAGATCCCCATGAAGGACATCAATGGGCCACCCAGTGTCGTTCCACCCTGAGGATTGTGGGAAGAGTAAGAGAAAAAACAAGGCCTCGTGCAGAGTGGCGTGAGGGGGCTGAGGGAGCTCTGGGTCCAGCCTACTGCTCAGAGCCTCCACACCTGTGTCAGGGACGAGCCTTTGGCTGCGGAAACACACAAATCTCATGTGAGAGAGGAAACATTTTCTAAAGTAAAATAAAAGTAACACTAAAGTGCGTCACACACCGCAATGTCAACACAGCGCGCACATGACAGTCGGAAGTATCGCACTCCAGATGCGCACGTTCACATGCTATTTTAAATTATATTATTCAGACGGCGCTCTGTGGCGTGGCAGAAATATGAACAGTGTCCCGAGTCGTAGCTGGGTGCCGCGGACTAGGCATGGGCCGGTATAAGATTCTGACGGTATAATAACTTTGAATAAAAATATCACGATTGCACGGTATTGTGATTACTGCCCTAAAAAAGAAAAAAAAAAAAAAAAAAATATATATATATAAATATATATACATATATACATACACACACACATACACACAAAAATACGCCATCTATTGATATCTTTTCTGCTGGATCTACTGTTGTTCTAAAAAATAAAAATCTTACACAAACCTTAGGAACGGTATAGCAGAAAATTTTGATGGTTTTAAAACTATGACTTTTCCAAACCGCAGAATACCTTGAAAACGGTTATGGTCATATGCCTACCCCAGACAGTCACCGTCTTGCGGCGCCCGTGTGCGTACACTGATAGAAATCTATGTTTAGAATTTAAAATGCGTTGCCCTTCAGGGTGCTTTTACACTTGGTCCAGACCTAAGTTCGATTGTCCACTCTCAGCTGTACAGCTATTGCTGTTGTGTACAGCTGTTGTTAGGTAATGGCCATGAAAGCAAAGCGCAAAAATGGAGGCGTCCACATATTATGGTCATTCTGCTTTTACTGAATCGTTTGCTTTTGTTACCAAAAGCAAAATACAGAGAGCCACTCGTGTCGATCTGCCACAAATAAAAACATTCAGAACCCCACGCGATGTCTGCAGAAGCTGTTTTTGGTGGAAACAAGCAGACATTATCACTGTTTGCACTGGGTCAGTCCCACTTGTCGCCAAGGTAGGTGATACACAGACATACACACACTAATGAACAATATGAAAACTAAAGCTAGTTGTACAGTTGGCAGTTCACTTCTGTTATTTGGTATGACTGCATTCATATCAGAAGTGAACCGTACCTGAGTTTGCACGAACCTCTTTCAGCTGGACTCGGGTACGGTTCACAGGTGCGCACCCGAGTTTAGAAGACAGCGTTCAGACAAGCTAAACACTGTACTCTGACATCAAATGAACCCGAGTGAGGACCAAAAGTGCTAGTTTGAAAGCACCCTAAGTCCCAATTCACACTACTAACAAACCATTTACTAAGACTTTTAGCTCAAACCATTAATTAGCTGTTTATTAATAGTTAGTAAGGTAGTAGTTGGGTTTTTATATTGGGTAGGGATGTAGAATAAGATCATACTTTATAACTGCAGGTAATAAGCCAGTAGTCAATTTTGACTTTACATAAAGTGTTACCAAAATAGACCGTTTTAATCTGGGTTAACATGTGCTCAAATGTGTCTTTTGTGTTCAGATGTCATCAAGATCTTTCCCCCCAATTTTCTCATAGTCAAAATCACTTTCACAGTGATGAAAGACTTTTTTTTGTGCCCTTTTTACCAAAACTTCCTGTAATAATCATGTATTCACAATTTCAATCTCTACAGATGGAAGAGGTGAGCGATATTGTCCAAAATGTTTTTTTTTCTTCCCCTATAACAATCAATATGCTAAATGTTCATTTCTAATACCAATGATAAAATCAGTTTTATAGATGCATATCTTTTAATAAGGAACAGCCCATAATTATTATTATTATTTTTTGGATAGGTGTTTGATAATATATTATGTTAAAATAAAAATGTAATTAATAATAATTAACTTAATGTTTTAAATAATGAGAGTAAAACTATTAATTGCATGTAATATACGCTGCTCAAAAGAGTTGTATAAATTAATGGATACAAAAGCTAACAAACAACTTTTACTATGTTTCTTCAAAATAATACTATTATTATCAGTACCACTACTGTTACTTTTAGTAGTAAAGTTTAGTTAAAATTGCAAGGTAAACTAAATTTTTATTTGGTGGGCTGTAGTAAGCTCTCTGAGCTTTAGTATGTAATTGACTAGTTTTTCCCCTTCAAATGACAAGTGACTTTTGGGCTTTTCATTACATTTACATAAACATATTACAGATCCTAATATGATACTGTTTATTCTCCAGTGCTATTAGGTGCTCTTTAGTGGCTGTTTAAATAAACTTTACCGCATGAGCATTTACATTCATTTACATAAAAAGAATCCAATCAAATGCCACATTTAAAACATTGCAGATCCAGTTTACACCTGAATTTAGCATTATCCACCTGACTAACACGCATCTTAATATCTGCAAACATCTAAAACTTGAAAAAAATTGGGCTCTTCACTAATTTAGACTGTGAAGTTTTTAAATATATACTTGGCTAACAATTGCAAACATGCCATTAGGGTCAATGTAAGCTTATGAAGCAGTCACACTCTATAAAAAACTAACCTGATGTATGAGTGAATTATTGGGCAGCCCTGGAGGTCCAGGTATAGAGCGAGCGTGTTTGCTGTGAATGTTGTTGATTGATGGAGATTTGGCCATTTTGGGCCTGCCAGGACCTTGTCCACCTCCCACTCCTGTTCCAGACGCTGACAAAAAAAATACAGAAGTTCAGCACTTTGGGATCAGGTTAGTAAATGGCAGAATTATTCTGTATATTAAGACCACAACTACATTAATGTTTATAGTATAGCATGAACCTTTTTGAAGATGTTATGAAAAAGAAATGAAAACAAAACTAGAGCTGTATCTGAAACACAATACTACCTAAACATACAGTACGTGAGAAGAGTAAAATTTAAATTCACAGTATATGTAAAACAGTAGATGAAAGGAACCTGGATAACCTACTATTTCTGGCAAGATTCTAATGTGTGCATCCAGAGAACTAACCCATGAGACCACGCAAGAGAATTATCAATAGTAGACATGCGATTATGACAAATGGCGGATTGTAGTACATTTGATTTCCATCTATACTACTCATTCATACTATATATGCTATACAAAAAGAACTGTGTAGTAAGATCAAATTTAAATGTAGTACCTACTACAGTAGTATGAGATTTTTGAAGCAGCTTAGATCAAAAATTATTTTCAGAAAGAGATACTTGATACTAAAATTGTGAAATCCAAAGTGGATCGACTAAAAGTGAAACTAAGAGTGGATCAAAAGTAAATATAGGGATGAAACAGAAACTGGGATCAGATTACTGAGCAATTAAATGAAAACTGGATCAAAAATCTCAACTTTTACTAAATCTCAACAAACTGCATAAACACAAAATTAAAAGCTGAAATTAATCAAATGTTTATCTTTGCTTTGTGTATAAAACTTTAAATGTTATGTAATGTGTTATATAGCGCATTTACTGTGTATAGCAATACACCCAAAGTGCTTCACAATCATGAGGGGGTCTCTCCACACCACCAGTGTGCAGCATCCACTTGGATGATGCAACGACAGCCACACACCAGCTATAGTTGGATTGGACAGACAGTAATACAGCCAATGCAGGGATGGGGATAATTGAGAGGCCATGATGGGTAAGGGCAGATGGAGAGAATTTGGCCAGGACACTGGGGTTACACCCCTACTCATTACAAGAAGTGCCATGAGATTTTTGATGACCACAGAGAGTCAGGAAACTAAATGAATTAGAAAACTGAAACCAGAAAAAAATTAACTCAAACTAAATAAAACTGAACTGAAATGAATCACAACATGGAACAGTAAAAATGACATTACTAAACTAAAATAAACCAAAAACCATATTAAAGTCAGAAAAATTCAACAGAAGCTGGATCATACCTATAAAACAAATTAGCCAAAAACAAATTAAAGTCAGTCAAATGAAACAGAAACCAGATCAAAGCTAAAAAAAAAAAATAATTAAAAATAGAAAAAAATGGACTGAACCAATTGAAAAGAAATGGAAATCAGATTAAAGGTGCCCTATGATAAAAATCTGGGTATACCAAGAATAATAAAAGATCAGTATATGGAAATGGTCATACTGTGAGCCTCAGACACCACTGTTTCCTCATTCTCATAAAAATTCCAGGAGTGTAAAACCCTAGTGGACAATGGGCCAATCAGAAGACAAAACAAACTGTGACGAGACTCACAGGCCATCCCCTCCGCATTTGCATGCATGCCTAATTTGGGTCAATTATCCAGACCTGACGAGCAGCCACGTCATCAAGCTCTGAGATCATAAAAAAGCTCTGAGATCTTTAATATGCATGCCTCATGCAACGTTTGATAAGCAACAAGGTTTTCTAATGAGACAACAGTGATAACTTTTAACACATTCGTACATTTCACTTACAATGCAAGCGCCAATTTGTTTACTGTGCGTTACTGGGCAATGACAGCATTAGGCACATCCAAACAAAGACTATAGAATATATAAGGCATGTCACTCATTTAGTTTTGAACAGGAAAAGTGTAACGTCTATATAGTGAATGAAGCCCTGCCTACTTGTACAGGAGCCAATCATTGATCACTATAGACTTATGTTTCTCCGGGGTAGAAGCACAGACCAGATGTGTTCTTTTATGACAGTTGGGTGATCAACAAACACACTGGAATCTCAGCGAATACTTGCTTCACAGACATGAGAAATATATTCAAATAAGACTGAAATCTGCACTTTTAAATGAACTAACTACTCTTGAAAACAAAAGTTTTTTGGTTTTGTAATCGGTTTGAAACAAACGCGAGGTACAGTCCATTCTGTCAAAAGCAAATCACATGACAACAATTACTCAAATACTTACAAACTTGTAAACAAAGAGTTGCTATCATTTCTGGAGGAGATTCGCCATCAAGACTAAGTTGTGGATTAGTTCAGAAGAGCAGCGCGATCAGACAATTATTATCCAGAGGATGATAACGTGTAGAACGGCCATAAATAAGATTGGTGTCGTGACTTTGTTCCTTTCAATTGTGCATGCTCATTATCTCGGTGATATAATGATTTTGTTTGATTCGAACGTTTAGAAATGAATCTTACGAGATAGTTGTTTAACTTTATTGGTGATTCCAAATATGTAATGTAATCGTAAGCTTGCCAAACAGTTTTGGAGAATTTGATGTTTCCCTAATCAGACAGAATTCCCGAGCATACTGCCCAAGAGGCGATTTTAAAGGTGGCCGCCGATGGAAAGGACTTGCTTTAAAGGCACTTTAGTTCAAACTGACCTCAGAGCGCAAAATGCAAGATTGAGACATTTATTCATCTCCATTCTGAATAGACATAAGATATGTTTAGTTACATTTTTTGTTAATTTATTGTGTAATTTGATGCGTATGTTACAACAAACACGAGTAGACTGCTGAATTGTGTTGTATCGCTCAGCTTAACTGTCATCTGTTCATGCAGAGGTTGATATTAATTCCCGGCTGTTATCTTTGACTGTAGCTTCAAAATACAACGCCATATACCTCTATCACTCTCTTTTGTCAAGTTTAATTATATTTAAGCCTTTATCCACAACTGAACTAGAGAGCAAAATAGGTTAACGTTGCTCTGATTGGCTTTATATTTGTCCATGTTCAGCATACATGTGAGAGGCATGTCATTAATATTTACAACACAATATATATATGGTCAATCATGGACCTTCTGATTTTAGGGGTATTTTATGGAGTAAAAAATAAGTTTATAAAACCGTGTCTGGAATTTTTTTTTAAGTTACCGGAGCCATAATGTAGATATTAGAGAACATTTTATTAGACTTCTTAAATTCATCCAAAAGGAAAAATAAAAACGTTTAATCCAGACTGACAAAGTGTACACACCTGTGCTGTTGAGGCTACTTGATCCGGGCGAGCCCTTCCTCCTTTTGGCTTCCAGACGTGCATCAGTATGATGATCACTGCTCTGATGAACAAACGGTCCGAGCGAGAGCGTGGAGTCACTGCTGTTCATCACCACACTCATGCGTTTAATAGATTCAGCCGGGCTTCCTGAAGGAGGGCCTCGTCCTGTCGACTCCTGCTTCAAGCTCAGAGAGTTGGCCCTGCCTGGGGTACAATTTACCCCTACACTGTACACCCCACTATGGGATGATGACGTTGTCGATGATGATGATGAAGTTGAAGAAGGAGTTGATGCGAGCGAGGAATGGTAGGCGCTGCCCACGCTACCAGAGTTTATCGTACAGTTCTTCTTAAATGATGAGGAAGATTCTGAGGTGTAAGTGCTATGGGACGTTAGCAGGGAACTGGTTTTCCGTTTCTTGCCCGCACTAAGGCTACTGCTCGCACTACTACTGACGCTAACACTGCTATTAGTACTGCCCTTGATGATAGAGTTGCTTAGGCTAGAGGAAGGCTCCCGAGCCCTGAAGGATTTTGTACCAGATCGGGATTTAGGGGTTCGGTTGGAGCCCAACGAGGGTAGCGAGGACGAGTGGGCTGAAGGCATCTGGGGTGATGAGGCTGACACTTGTCTAGAAGAGCCACTGTAAGCAGGTTGCTCGGTGGCAGAGGCTTGCGGAGAGGAGCGAGCGTTCAGGGTGGTGCCGTACGACAGAACTGGCTTACTGTCATAAGGCGGCGGTGAGGACAGGCCGAGGAAGCCTGAGGATACGGAGGAGGACGAGGAAGAATGGGAGTTTGTGCTTGTCCGGTGAGAGGCTGATGGTGCAGTTGTAGAGTTTTCCAAAGCCAGTGGGATTTTCCTACAAAGTAATGGTGAGAAATTACAATTGGGATTGTGTTAATTGGAAATAAAGTTGCTTGTGGGAGGCGTCTCAACACACTCACTTCCACATTTGGGAGTTGACATGCTTGTCCAACATGGTTGTCAGAGCACACCGTACTTGATCCCAGCGCCGGTCGAATGCAAAACAACCTCTACCGTACAATCGACTTCCAAAAGTGCAGTACTAGTGAGAGAGAACATGAATGCTACATTTAGATAAGAGTTCTACACATACATTCTCTTCATGGATTCAGATCAAGGGCGAATCAAACTCTAAAGATTGTGGTTCGCCGGCAAATTGGATTCAAATGAGGCCCTGGATATTCATTTGAATCTGATATAGAATAGCTCTGTGATTCAAAAGCTGAAAAATTAATGGAAGTGACTTTCTAATGCAGGCACTTAAGAAAACACTTGCTAACACTTCACAGGGTAAGATCACAAGGTTTCTTGTACTTACAGCAGCTGGTCGTGGGTGGTAACCTGAATAATGGCAGTCCAGTTTCTCTGTGGCCTCCTCTCTGTCCTCGTTCTCCCCCTCGTCGCTGGACACGCGGCTTGTCTCGGGACCGACAGGGGCTGGGTGAGAGTGGTGGGCCTGGTCGTGGGCCATGGCTGGGTCTCCTCCACTGTGAGAGTTACTGCTGTTGATTCTGAAGACAAAGATGAGCACCAAGAGGATAAATTTACATTGTTATCAACCACCTGGGTAAACAAAAAGCAAGAGGAGCTCTATAATAAGGAATAGAAACTGAAGCTGGCTAATTAAAGGAATTTAGAGGATTAGTGGGGCAGGAGGAAGCCACTTACCGCGGAAGCCCAGAATTGTGAGGTTTGGGTTTGTTCGGGGGCAAAGGCTTGGTGGCATCGGCAGTGCCATTGCCATGGGGGACCGGGTGAGGGTCCTGTGAGAGGCGGGAGGGGGGAGGGTGAGGGTCCCTGAGAGGGGGTGCTGGGTGTGAGGGGTCCAACCTGAACTGCAGCTCCTTGTCACGTGTTTTGCTCTTGTGCTCAGCGAGCAGCGTGTCGAAGCGTTGCCGTCGCCCAAGCACCGCCCTCCTCTGGCTTATGGAATGTGACTGTGGAGAAACAGGGGAGATAAATAACAGTTATCTATTAAGTGTCTCAAAATTAATTAATTCTTCGATAGAGATGCGGACAATTTGGTATTGGTTCAGTAGTAGATCATAACTAGTTATTACGTGCTGATGTCATTTATCACATATGCGCTATGCCACACTAGAATACTATGGCAAAGTAGATTATTGTGCACAATTCACTGCTTGTAAGTTTGCTGGACAGACTTTCACGGACACTTAGAAAGGAACAGCACGAGCTGCTATTTCACTACTAGGGAAAAATGCTGTAAATCTCCATGTCTGCGTCTCTCTCCCTCACTTTGGACATTCGATCCATTGGCATGTTTGTGAGGTAACTCCTCTCCTCTTGGCTGCTAAAGCAATACTTGTGGATCCAGGCATGAGCGTGCTTGAGGTGTTCTCATCACAGCGTCTATTACGGACTACTTGTGATAACCGCGTATTTTCCTTATTTAGACAGTGACCGCCACAGTTGACTGTGACCTCATCAGTGTTGACTGTGACCTCATTGGTAAACAGCCCTTTTATTTTTAGAGCCAATATAAAGACAATATTTATATAAGACAGTATTTATAGATTTAATTGATGTTGGCTAATTTTAAAGTATAATGCAAAAATTCTGACTTAATGAAATAATGAAATTTGCATCTATATAGGGCTGGTAGATTAATCAAAGGTGATTTTCATATGCATTTTGTCAGTACTAAAAAACTTTGTTTTTAGTAAAATCACAATTTTAGATACCGCAGCATTTACTACACAGATTCAGAATACACTGACAAACTATGTAAAATCATGTGCAAAATCGATTCAATTTAATTGGACACAGTGCTTATTTTAAGCCGGATCTTGCCGGATTCTCTTCCGGAAATTGTCAGATATTGTTTTATACATGTTTTGCATTCTGGTAATTATTTGAATGGATCAGGCATTAACTTGTGCATGGTGAATACCTACGTGTGTGTGTGTGTATGTGTGTGTGTATGTGTGTGTGTATGTGTATGTGTGTGTGTGTGTGTGTGTGTGTGTGTGTGTGTGTGTGTGTGTGTGTGTGTGTGTGTGTGAGAGAGAGAGAGAGAGAGAGAGAGAGAGAGAGAGATTGAGAATGAATGCATACAAAGGCTGTTTGGATTGGATACACATGACAGTAGTCAACATGAGCACGTTAAAGCAGAAAGCACGTTTGACTAATGACCCTCACCAATATTTTTTAGCCAATCTGCTTTTTAATGTTTACAATCACTCTCATTGGTTTGTGAGTTGTTTAGTGCGCATTGAGCAGCGAAAATAAATAATGGCATAGTGGTTAACCTAAATAATATTAGTATTGTCAAAATGGCAAAGAGGCAGTCATACATATTCTTGTTTTTTTTTTTTTTTTAAACCATGAGTAAACCTGATAATGAACTTGATAAAACGAGATTTCGAAAAGATGAAACTGCGTGAATGGATCAGGATAGCGGGAGACAGAAGCAAAAATTGATCTCAAGTCAGACAGAAAACATGACAGAAGGGGTAACTTTTCCACTTGGCACATAATAGTGAAGTGAACTAAATAGTGATTGTAAATACAATTTATGTTTGTAGCTACATGTTTGTATCATCCATGACTGACCTATAATGTTATGTATGGCAAAAAAATAGTTAAAGACCGTTCAGAAATGCTCTTTTTTTGTGCTATCACCATTTAATAACGTAATGAAAAATGTAAACTGTACGGTGGACGTCTGTCTCTGTAACGTTTATTTCCTGGTCTTGTTCCGGGAATTATTCATTTACAAATTAAGCACTGATTGGACAATAATGAAATCGAAATAATGATTCTGTGGTGATGACAGCTCTAAGTAGTAAAGGCTGCTACAAATAAAAGCATGTGAAAATACTATAAACTTCATAACGTCAGTTGAATGTTTAAAATAAATCCTTCTGTGGATTCAGTAAATGATTTTAGTAGCTACGAAGATCAAATTAAAGCAGTTATGTTTAATAATCAACAATTTTTTTTTTAGGAATTTCCTGGGTTTGGATATTTAGAACTTAAGCACAAGAGCACCACTATTTCACGGGAAACGTGCTTCCCTGACAAGATTTTGTTTAATCATATCTTTCGTATTCTATATTTGCAAAATAATTTTTATTCATCACCCCCCACCAGCCCTATATGTATATGGAAGTTTTCATAGTACACCCATAATTAAAGTTTAAATGTGTAGAAAGTGGCATACCTTGCATGTTAAGGATCTTGTGCATGGCTTACGTGCTGTCATATCCATAACCCCACAATGGATATCAGGATTAAACTCTCGCTCTGGATGGAGGAAAAATACACAAAAATAAAAAACAACACTCAAGAAGTCTACTGTACATTTTTTTCCTGAATGATCTGACATTAGCAGCAGCAGTGACAGAATGAAAGTTCACCTTGTCTCTTGTACAAGGGTCTTCTGCTACTGGCATTGTCCTGTTTCTTGTCTTGGGACGATTGGTGGCCTTTTCCATTGGGGATCTGACCAGGGGCTAGCTGTGGAGCCTTTGGTATGGAAGGGAAGTTAAGGCCTGACTTCAGGGGAGAGGTGCTCACAGTATTGGAGGAGGAGGAAGAGGAAGAGAAAGTGGAAGAAGAGGCGGGCACGTGGGGGAGTTTGGCTGAAGATTCCACCTTCAGATGGACCTTCTCTACTTTAACTGTAGGGATTTGGCTGAGAAGCAGAGAAATAAAGACAATCTGTAACTGTGCCAAAGGTGGGAGTGTTTCTGATTACACACAAATTATCTTCACACAAAATTCATATTCACTCCATCAAAACACACATACACACCTCTCCTCTGACGGCACCCTAAAAGGGAAGTGAGGCTTCCGGTGAGGCAGCTTCTCTTTGGTAGATTTAAAGATTTTCGTGGGGACACTGCTGTTTGCGCTGGAGGGGCGAGCCAGTGTGCTTCCACTGCCCCCAAGACTGCCCTTACTTCGAGAGTTTGCGAACGCAGGGGAGCTGGCATAGCTGGATGGGGGCTTGCTGCTGGAGCTGTGTCTTCTCTCTGAGGGGGGACACATTTGAAAGATGTCACTCTCTGAATGGTCAATATGTTGCAGGCAAAGATGACATGTTTACAAGGGATACATTTTTGATTCGGTTTAATTTTTCACCACCATTGGTAGTTTTATTTAGGATCTTTTCTGGATTCTGTTTACAGTAATATCAGCCGAAAAAAAATTCAAACAAGTTACAAATGTCTTTCATATTATGATACAGTTGAAGTCAGAATTATTAGCACGCCTGTATATTTTCCCCCAATTTCTGTTTAAAGGAAAGCTTTTTATCCATTACATTTCTAAACATTACAGTTCTAATAACTGATTTCTTTTATATTTGCCATGGTGACAGTACATAATATTTAACAACACATTTTTCAAGATACTAGTATTCAGCTTAACTAGGCAAGTTAGGGTAATGAGGCAAGTCATTGTATAAAGATGGTTTATTATAAAATCAGAAAAGAAAAAAAAAACACTCAAGGGGGCTAAGAAAATTTAACTTAAAATGGTTTTAAAAAATGATAAACTGCTTTCGTTCTAGCTGAAGCTAGAAGCTTGATGTTGGATGCTGAAGAAAAACATTATAGGAAATACAGTGAAAAAATCCTTGCTGTTAAACATAATTTGGTAAATATCTGAAAAAGAAGAAGAAAAAAAAGATTCACAGGAGGGCTAATCATTTTGACTCCAACTGTATTCACCTTATTCTCCTCCGACGAGCGGGTGCTGCCATTTGAATCTTTTTGGCTTGAGACTTCCGATCTCATTCACTTGCATTCATTTTTTGATGTTAAAAACTGCTCAATACGCGGATTGATGTTGCAATTTGATATTTTCTTATTATATTATTCTACTTGGTCTGTATAGTCATGCAAACATTTGTTTGTAGAGCAAGTAGTTTGACCGTTTTCTGCCGTTTATTATTCCTAGTCATTTCTCCCATGGGCGACTGAATCGGAAGTTCTAAGAAAATCGCGAAAAACAGGCGCACTTCCGCATTTTAGAATAAGGTCAATAATATAACCATGCAAAATAACTTATTGGGCAACATAAAATGTAGGAGAGACTTATGTTTATTTTATGAATTATGCTTCGCCATTAGTGGATCTTATACGAGTGACAGCTTGTCTGCCCGCACAAAGAGATGTTGCTTTAGTGCAGGGGTCACCAATCCCGGTCCAGGAGGGCCGGTGTCGCTGCAGGATTTAACTTCAACTTGCATCAACACACCTGCCTGGGTGTTTCAACTATACCTAATAAGACCTTGATTAGCTTGTTCAGGTGTGTTTGATTAAGGTTGGAGCTAAAATCTCCTGGACACCAGCCCTCCAGGAACAAGTTTGGTGACCACTGCTTTAGTGAGAGGGCAAGTTACTTTGAATAAAGATTACAAGATTCAATGCAGGTAAATGGTTTCGAGTTTAGCAGTAACACTAATAGCCTTATTCTTCAATGTGGAAGTGCGCTCGTTTTTGCAATTGTTTTAGAACTTCTGATTTCGTAGACTACTGGAGAAATGACTAGGAATAATAAACAGAAAACGATCAAACTACTTGTTCATGACCACACAGACAAAGTAGAATATTCATTCATTTTCCTTTTGGCTTAGTCCCTTTATTAGTTTGGGGTTGCCACAGCGGAATGAACCGGCAACTCATCCAGCATATGTTTTACACAGCACAGCCCATCCAACTGCAACCCATCACTGGGGACCATCCATACACACTCATTCACACACATACACTACGGACAATTTAGCCTTCCCAATTCGAACCAGCAACCTTTTTGCTGTGAGGCGAACGTGCTAGCCACTGTGCCACCGTGCAGCCTCAAAGTAGAATAATATAATAAAAACATCAGTTTGCAGAATCAAGCACCATAAAAAGCTGTTTTTAACATCTAAACATGAATGGAAGTGAATGAGATTAAAAGTCTTGAACCAAAAAGATTCAAATGGCTGCGTCTGCCCGTACAAGAAGAGTAAGGTCAATATTAATATCAATATCTAAAATAATTTGATTTAAATCATTCTTTTTCATTTTATTTAACTTTGAAGTCATACAAATGTCTTTTTGTTTAATTTTTCCAAGTATCAGCATATTTCTTATGTAACAGAAACAACAACAAAAAGAAAACACTTAAACCAAAAAAAGGACATACTTGCTTAACATTTGCAGATTTTTGGATTTGTCTTTGCACTTTGCTCAAGAAAAAACACAACCATTTTAATGTGCAGTTAACATAACCTCCTCTTACTCCAAGTACATTAATTCTCAGGCGCTAAATAAACTAAAACACATTAGCTTTCATTGAGTAATAATTACCAGACAATAAAACAAGATTTTCAGTCAAAAGAGTGGACATTTGTGATGTATTAAAACACTGGGATCTCTTCATTCTCGCTTGCCAATGCGCACACACACACACACGCACGCACGCACGCACGCACGCACGCACGCACGCACGCACGCACACACAAACACACACACTCATACTTTAGTCTGATGTCTCGCCTTTGTTTATGTGTGCTGATGAAACTAAAGCAAAAACCCAACAAAAGAAAAGGACACCAGGAAGAAATCCTTGACTTATTTATTTCTCACAGATGCCTGTGGCTTCTTGCTGGATTGTTGGCGCTGCTCCGAGAAAGTGAGCCAAAAGCAATTTGAGTAACCAAAAGCCCAATCGACAAAGCCCCAATTAGACCACAACACTCCGCGATATCATTCCGCCTTGTGTTGAAAAGCAATCTGGGATCGTTGTGAGGAAACTGTACACCAAATACTGCTACCTGACAAATGACCACAGGGAAATACCAACAAACTCAAGAGCCCAGAGCAAAAGAAAGATCAGTGTTCACAAAGGAACAGCACAAACTTATAGCATTTTGGCCTTTAACATAACAAGGAGCCATCAGCCCATCAAAACACACATCTTCAGGCTGTAATCGATAAAAGTAATTTATAAAAAATCAATATAAAAAGAATCCAAATGGTCAACACTGACTTCATTAGCCATTTGTCACAAGTGTTTGTCAGATATGTCCACATGAAAAAGCAAAACATGTTTCCAGAAAAAAAGGCAATCTAATCTATATACTCCAATAGCATGTTTGATTTTATTTTTATTTTTATTTTATTTTTTCTTATCTGGACCAGAAAAAAACAACAACATTTAACAAAATGTTTTTAAAACAGACTGGTCCAAGATTTAACAATGAGTTTAAATGTCTTAATCATCACTAAACTATAAATACTTCCTAGACAACTGTCAATAAAGTTGTGCATAAGAAATTGCAGTTGTAAAAACTAAAAATACCAATATTTGTTTCCAGACATTACTTGTACTGTTTTTAATATACCATAAAAAATAACAAAAACACATTTCCTTTGATTTTGTGAGATAATGTATGTACTATAAATCTTGATTCTTATCAATTAAAGCTGTCAAAATCAGCTTTTAATAACCCACCAAGCTGCCAAAATTGATTTTCAAGATTTTGTCTTGATAATCTCAGCTTATGTTTCGACAGGGTCAAACTAGATACACTCAAAAAAATAATGTTTGCTGCTCGTTCAAACTAGTTTTTTAATATGAGCAAAGAAAACTTAATTCTTAAGGTTTCTTTGGCACAACTTATTTGTTTTATGTTCAATCTGCCTAAATATGTAAAAACACTATTCTAGGGTTAAGCTTAATAAATTCTACCCCTCCTTCTCCTCTAAATGTAACAAATGTGAATCTGTTGAAGGCTCTTTAGGACATTTTTTTTGGTCATGCAAAAAACATTTTGAGATTTGGAGCGAACTTTTCAACTTCTGCTCTGAGGCTTATTCTTGTGAGCTCGCCCCTGATCCAGTAATCGCTGTTTTTGGTTGGTCTGACTTTTTATTACAACAGTCAACAATTTAAAAAAGCTGTTCAATATGGAATGGTGTTAACTGAAAAAAAAAATTATTTATTCATTAAAAAAGGCATCAAAACCACTTTTTAATTCCTGGCTTTCAGAATTCTCTACCACTTTACATTTAGAGACACAACAACACAATCTTTCTGATAACAATGTTGGCTTTGAAGCCAACTGGAAACCCTTTTTTAATTATTTGTCAAATGCCCAGGATAACAGTTTAATGGTATAACCCTGTTATCATCTGCAAGATCACCATATTGCCTGCCCCCACTAGAATAGATATATATGTGTAACACTGTAGACCCATGTATAATATTAGAGGAAAGGATGTAATAATGGTTTTAAAATCTTCTTCTTAAGTTCTTTTTTCTGTCTTTATAATTGTTGTTGCTTTTTGTATGGCTCTGTGTTGCTTTAAGAATATAAAAATATAATATTAAAAAAAATGTAAAAACATAATTTGGGTAACTTAATTGACTTGTATTGGGCCAATATGCTACAATTGTGTGGAACCCAGCATTTTTTACAGTGTAGCAAACAAAACATTTATCTTTCCGTTTTTTTTTTTTTTTTTTTTATTTTTACCTCTTTTTAACATTTTAAGTGGAACTCGGTGAACATTCTAAAATTAAGAGAAGCAATTCACAAACCCTTTAATTATGAATTCACAAACACAAATAAAGTATACAGTCTGTCAACATTTCTACTTCATATTGTGAACTGTACCTTATCTAAATGTCTTAATTTCAACATTACTTGAAGTACAGTGAGATTAAATATCTAATTAAATAAAAATAATAATAATGACCAATTCTTGGTATTTACAACTTTATTAGTGTATACTTGTCTTATCATATTGCATAATGCGCTGAAAATGAGCAAAAACACAGTTTCAGCACAGGGAATGTTTTGAAACCATTTTAGACTAATCAACTCTCATGCAAATTCATCTTTTATTTATGAGGGGAATTAAACTATAAGCATTCTGAGCAAACACTTCTCGCTGTACAGCAAGCAAATGATTCACCAGATCTCAAAGGCACAGAATAGAATATTGTGTTTATATACGACACGTGTGTTGTTGATTTGTTT